ATTCCCAGCATCCTGTATGGTCCCCTGAGCACCACCAGGAGTAATTCCTCAGTGCAAAGCCAGGAGTAACCCCTGTGCATCGCCGGGTGTGACCCAAAAAGAAAAAAAAATTTTTTTTGCAAGAGTATTCTGGTTAAATTTTCCAGAAACCCTGTGGTATAAATAGAATCTGCCATACTCCCTTTACAGATAAGTAAATTGTGGGTTAGAAGAGCCAAGGAACTTGCTTCCCAAATACGAAGCTCTTTTGCATGCAGACTCTCCTATACAGATAATTATAATTATTAAAAAACAATAAGGGGAAGGTATGAAGAATGTATTAAGGGAGTAGAGAAGAAGGTAAAAAGAACTTAGCCTCAACTTAGTCCTAAACTAAGTTCTTCCCCAGCTGTGGAGTTTTTCTTTCCCTTTTAATTTCCAGTAAACCTTTCCATCAAACAAACAAACAAGCCCTTAGTCTTCATGGTGGGGAATTTGAGAATAGTCTATGAGAAAGACGACATCTGGCTTTGTCTCTGAGCTAGGTAGGTCTTTTTAAAAATTTTGGGGTTTTGGAGTCACATCAGCAATGCCAAGGGGTTATTCTGTCTTTGTGCTCAGTAGTGACCTTGGGATATACTCATATATGGGGGTAATCAAACAGGAGACAGCTGCATGCAAGGCAAGTGCCATGTCTCCTACACTATCTGCCCAAACCTGAGCTAGGTTTAAAGGAAGGACCCTGGGCTGGGGTGAGAGCTGAAAGATCTGCTGTGTAGGCTCTGCACACCAGGTTCTTTGGCTTCAATCCCTGGCACTGCGGGGTCTTAGAGCACTGCTGGGACTAACCCACAAGAAACAGGAGTAGCCCCTAAGGATAGCCCAAAAAACCAAAAAAGAAAAAGAGAGTCTGGAGAGATAGCCTAACAGATAGGATGTGTGCATTGCACACAATTTACCCGGGTTTCATCACTGCCACCACGTTCTACAGAAAGTCCATGAATAACATTTCACTCAATATTGTTTGGTTATATAATGATGGGGGGGGGATCCCCTCCAATACTATGAATTATTGGGAATCTGTTCTTATTTTATGCTGTTTCGGTTAAAAGATAGTTTCTGCGATCGTTTTTCAACAACAATGAGGCATTTCAGTTAACTAGAGGTAGTGAGAGCTATCCCTTCCATTCAACAATAAATACTGGATCCAATGCAGATTTTCCTATTAATTTCATTAAACATCCTTAATATTTATACCATAGGTTATCAAAGCAAATTCTGGATTTGCCTGAAAAACACTCAAAAGCCTTTCAAAGATATTGGAGAGGTCAGGGGAGCACCCCTGGCAGTGCTCAGGACTTACTACTAGCTCTGTGCTCAGGGATCACTCCTGGCAGGCCCAGGAAGCCCTCTGGGGTGCCAGCGACTGAACCCGGTCAGTCGAGTACAAGGCAAACACCCAACGCTCTGTATTATCACTTCGGTCTCTCAAAGCTATTTCCATAACAATGATACTATTACTGCTTCCATCACTATAACTACTCGCACAGGCACTGGCACCACTACCTACCTTATATCGACCACACCACTGCTACGCTAGGGCTGCCACCACTCCCACCACTGAGGTGTCACGAGTGCACAGCAATGTGGGGGACTACTTCTGCAGCCCGGGCATGAGTCAAGGACACTCAAATGCTCTAGGGAACAAGGTTCCTTTCGGTCACACACGATTTAAAACAAACCATACCAGTTCTAACTTCTCAGAGCCTCCAAAAAGGTCTCACAGATGCCCTGCCCTCTCCACCAGAGATCCAGGAACCACACTTGAGACCTACTCCTCTAGGAGTTTACACGAACACAAATAAAAATAGCTTCATGAAAGAAATGAAAACACAGCAACTGTTCGGTGAGTGCCTTTGAACTGGAGCCATTTAGATAAAATTCAGAGATGACAATGCGCCCTAATTATTCAATCAACTCTCCTCCGAATGCATGGGAATACAGAGAGTATATTAGTCTGCAGTAGCCAAACTTCCGGTGACCCTCACTTCCTGTATCTACACAGTTGGTCAATTAAGTGTAACCAATGGAATAGATGAGATGGCTTTTGCGTCAAAGATTAGGCTGTAAAAGATGTCATGGCTTTAGTTTTGGTGTGTCTCGGGCTGGAGAAAGAGTGCAAGGGCCACTTGTCTTATATGAGGCTGACACCAGTTCAAATTCCAAGCACCACATATGATCCCCAAAGCATCAATAGGAATGATCCCTGGGCAAGGCTGGTGTGCCCCAAGCCCTGCGTCTACCACCCTCCTTAGGAAAAAATAAAAAAAGGAGGGCCCAAAATGATAGTACAGTATGTAGGATGCTTAACTTGTACATGGCAGACCAGGGTTTGACTCCAGCATCCCATATGGTTCCACACGCACCTCCAAGAGTGCTTCCTGAGTGCAGAGCCAGAGCATGGGAGGGGAAGGGAGGCAAGAGAGGCAAGTGGGTCTTTATATCTGTCTCTGTTTCTCAAATCATCCATCCATTTTGTGGAAGGCCAGAATCTAAGCCATAGCCTGTGAGCAGCTAGACAGAAAGGTCCAAACAGTGAAGAAGTGATGAGGTCTAAGTCTCCAGTTAACCGTCATTTGAATGAGCCTAGAAGCAAATCCCCCAGAGGTCCTGATCCAGTTCCACCTTCAGATGATGATGATAGCCCTGGCTGACTGCAAGCTCAGGAGACACCCTGAGGCAGAACCTCCCAGCTAAACTTTCCCAGCTAAACCACTCCCAAATTCCTAGCCCTCAAGAACTCAGTAAGACAGTATGTGTTGTTTTAAGCTAGAGCTAGAGTTGTAAAGTGATTTTTATGCATGAAAACCAATATAGTCTCTTTCTTGAGAGGTCAAAACATAGGGGCTGTAGAAATAGTACAGCGGTAGGCTTTGCAATATATATTGCCAGTCAAGGATCAATCAATCCCATCCCCAGCATCCCATATGGTCCCCTGAGCACCTCCACGAGTAATTCCTGAGTGAAGGGCTAGGCGTAACCCCTGAGCATTGCCGGGTATAGATCCCGAACAAAAAACAAACAACAATAACAACCAAAAACAGAGATGAAAATACAGTTTAAAGATACACAGAGACCTAACAGATGGTCCTTCTCTACAGTTTAAGATGCTTGCCTGGTAAGCACAAGGTCATGAGTTCAAACCCTGTTGCTGAAATGGTGATAAGGACAGTCCTGGTTTTGGGATCCCCAGCAAGAAAAAGCCTGGAAAATGGCTCAGTTACTTAGAAAGTACGCAGGGTAAGTGTGAGGTCCTGAGGTCAATCCTTGATGTTGTACATTCACCCAGTCATCCTGGGTGAGAAAGTGAGACAGACAGACATGTATGCTAAAAATAAAAACACAACGTGAGTTAAGTGCCAAATTAAGAGTCAAGATAAATATTTAGGTAAGCCTGAAAAGGGATGTTTTCTGTGGACTAAAAGGTTGAGAAAAGGTTTCATGAGAGCTAGAACTTCAACTAAGTCTTCAAGAAGAGGGAGTTTCTGCTAACTGCTCCAGGGAGAAAGAAAATAGTATGGCAAAGGTTAAGTGACAACTTTTTTGAAGAGACCTCTCGGGAAAAGTTGGGAGATGAAGTAAATTTAGACACAGGTCAAATATGGAAGGTTCTGAATATAAGGCTAAGTTTAGATGTTATTTTGTAGGCAATAGATAAATACTGAAGGTTTTTTAATGGGAACATAATACAATTATAGCAGAAATTATGAGAACTTTCCTTTTTTTTTTTTAGGGGTGAAGAAGGTCTTGGGCCACAACCAACAGCGCTCAGATCCTTGCTCCTGGCTTTGTGCTCAGGCGATCACGTGGAGATGGAAATCAGGCCTCCAGAATGTAAAGCAAGTGCTAAACCCACTGAACTATCTTTCAGGTTCTTCTGTGCGTGTGTGTTCATGCGTGTGTGTGCGCGCGCGTGCGTGTGTGTGTGTGTGTGTGTGTGTGTGTGTGTGTGTGTTGCCAGGAATAGAACCACATATAAGACGTGCTTTTGCCACTAAAGCCACATTCCCCAGCCAATCATTACTGGCTTTGTACTGGAGTACTTTCTAAGAGGCCCTTCCTTTCCCATAATGATCTTTCTTTCTGCAAAACACCATTTCCATTACTGGTCTAAACACCATTTCCATTACTGGTCAAAAACGTGCATCTCAAACTCTGCTGACCACCACCAGGCTAGCCCCAGAAGCGTTAGTGGCAGCACTGGGTCTAATTCTTGAATGCTCCGGCCTATAGAGCTTGACAAGTATTGCTGGGAGTGGCTCCCAGGTCCCCCAGGCAATGCTTTAGGGTGGCCTCCCTACAAGGTACATTGGTAAATGAAATAGAATAACAGAGTATAAGAAAATAAACTATTGGGGCTGGAGTGATAGTACAGCAGGTAGGGCGTTTGCCTTGCACGCGATTGACCCGGGTTCGATTCCCAGCATCCCATATGGTCCCCTGAGCATCCCATATGGTCCCCTGAGCACTGCCAGGGGTAATTCCTGAGTGCAGAGCCAGGAGTAACCCCTATGCATCGCCGGGTATGATCCAAAAAGCAAAAATATCTGTGACCCCCCCCACACCCAAATGAATTTGAATATATATGCTAAAACAGTTATTATCAAACTCAGTGCTAAACCCTGACTACTCCTACTGAAGTAGTTATCAGAAATACCTGAAGCATGTCTTTCCTTTGTTTTCCTCTCATGTTTCAGACTGCTGAAGCACAAAACAAACTTCTCTGGAACATAATTTAAAAATAATCCAGAAAAAAAATAATCCCCAGGAAGAAGAATATAAATAATACCAAAATGCCTGCAATTATTTAAGTTCACTCTCCTCCCTATCTCTGATTGCATAATATTAAACTGTCACTTCTAGTCTTGTCGTTTAGAAGGTAGATAAAACACATGCTTCTGTAGCAGGTTTGGAAGCATGAACACGGGTGGGCGGGGCCTGCTTCCACAGTCAATACTCACTGTGTGAGAACCGCTGAGTGATAGGGGTTCCAGGGTAAGGGTAAGTCCGACTCTCCCACTGAATGTTTCCTTCTTGAACAGCTTTGATGAAGCCATGGTAACACTGGTGGGCCACACCTAAGGACAGAAATAGGAACCACTTCAGCCTAGGTACTTCACTGGTAAAGCAAATTATTAAAGCTGCATCTATTAAGTGTGGCGGGACTTTTATAAAGCAAATTTCTTTGAGGAACTCCAAATTTCCTTCATCTCTCAAAAAAGTGAAAAAATTCTGTAATTTCCAAACTGCCAGATCCTATTCTTTCATCTACCAAGTTTTAGGAAAAATTAATCAAGTCTGTCAAAGTTAATAAAATTGGCCCACACCACAACACTGCTCCCCTTCCTGTCATTTCATGAGGCAACAAAAAAACTGACATTATTTACTTCGGACCAAACAAAGCAGGAGAAATTTAGCTCTGTGAGAGAGAGTATGATTATGTCTGGAATGTAACAGCTGTTCTGTAAACATCTCTGACTGGACCAGGGAAACTGAACATTTTTCATCTTAAACACGAAGCTGTGGTCAGTGTCACTCCCACAGTGCTTAGGGGACCTCGTGGTATCGGGGATTAAACCCAGGGTCCTGAATGCAAGGCCTGCGCTTTAGCGCTCAGCCATATCCTTGGCTCCTGACACATTTTTATATGCAGCAATCAACTCTTTACTGTTGATTCTTCCACTTAATTTTCTGTCTTATTATTTGGGCCACACCTGATGGTGCTCAGGAGTCACTCCTGGTTCTGCACTCAGGAAATCACTCCTGGGAGTGCTCGGGGGACTGTATGGGACGCCAGGGATAGAAGCCGGGACAGCCGCAAGCAAGGCAAGTGCCCCACCCACTGTACTGTTTCTCTAGCCCTTCAACATCTATTTTAGAGATGAAATCCACATTACAGGAAGCCAGTCTCTTCTGAAGGGTCCATTAACTCTGCAAACAGAAGTTCAGCTGGGCATACTAGATTTACCAGTTATGAACAAATGAGCCTGGGCATAATCCAGCAAACAGTTTCAATGCTGTTGGCCCTTATCCTCCAGTCTGGGCTTTGGGGAGTTGACCAAGCACCCCCACCACCCAGTGAGAACCACCCTGAAACAAGGAAACCTGAAACCTAATTCAGACCTAAAAGTTTTTCTCATATACATATGTCTGTCTTATAGTCATTTGGAAAGAACAGACTAATGAAATCACTGATAATTTTTTGTGTGTGTGTGTGTTTTGGGTCACACCCCGTGATGCACAGGGGTTACTCCTGGCAGTGCTCAGGGGACCATATTGGATGCTGGGAATTGAACCTGGGTAGGCCGCGTGCAAGGCAAACGCCCTACCCACTGTGCTGTTGCTCTAGCCCCAATCACTGATAATTATTATTGATCAACCAATAATCAAAATTATTCAACTAGCCTGGTCCTCTTCATTTAAGAAAAGGAACCTAGAAGGTCAAGGAAAAGGCTGGATGGGCTGAAGTGCAAATTTTACATGAAGGACCGCTGGGTTTGAACCCAGCTTCAGATGGCTCCCATGAGCACTGCTCCCCTGAGCACTGCCAGATGTGATCACAAAAAACATTAGTAAACTACCAAAAATGAAATGGAGCTAAGCAGCTGCTATCTTTTCATACAGTACAGTAACTTCAACATTTAGCTAAGGCTAAAGTATGTGTATATATGATATTTGTGTAGAATCGAGGATCAAAGCCAAGGCTTTCTGTATGTGAGGCAGGTACTCTACGACATATGCCAGTCCCTAAAGCTGAAACCTCAGTCAGAAATAGGGGCATGGGATCAGAGTGATGTAGGACACACGCCTTCCATATGGCTGACGTGGGTTTGATACCTGGCATCCCTATACTATCCGTCTACCCCACTATATTGCTAGCTATTACCGCTAGCCTTTAACCCTTGCCTCCTTTGCTTACCCAAAATCATACAATTTAGCATACCAACTCTAAGAGAATGCAGGCACAAGATCAGAGGGTACAGTGAGAAGGTGCTTGCATGCGGCCAACCCTGGTTCAGTCCTGTCCACCGGTCCCCAGAGAACCACTGGGAGTAAACACTGAGCACCAAATCTAAAGAAGCCCTGAGCATCACTGGGTGCTATTTCCAACCCTAAGAAACAATATGCAGAAACAGAATCCTAATTTTAAAACTAAACTTCAGTAAATACTCTAATGTCCAAGACATTCATAAATCCAACTAGGATAAAAGTGAAAAAAGAAAGAAAGAAATAAAGAAAGAAAGAAAGAAAGAAAGAAAGAAAGAAAAGTAACCTAAACGTTAGAACCAGAGAGTTAAGGAGGAAAAGAGAAAATAAAATTGGGAGCTTAAAAGTAAACCATTCATGTGCTCGCTTCTTTCTGCAACACATATACTAAAATTGGAACAATACAGAGAAGATTAGCATGGCCCCTGCGCCAAGGATGACACACAAATTCATGAAGCATTCCATATTTTTAGGCCACCCCAGCTTGATGAAAAGGGTGGGCCTTGGGCCTAATAAAAAGCAAACTCTGGCAAAAAAAAAAAAAGTAAACCATTCATGGGACCAGAGTGATAGTACAGCAGGTAGGGCATCTGCCTTGCATGTGGCCAACCCAGGGTTCAATCCCCGGCATCCCATATGGTCCTCCAAGAGTAATTCCTAAGTGCAGAGCCAGGAGTAACACCTGAGCATTGCCAAAAAAAGAAAAAAAAAAAGTAAACCATGCATGGCGCTGGAGAGAGAATACAGCAAGCAGGGCACTTGCCTTGCATATGTCCAACCCAAGTTTGATCCCCAGCACTACATATAGTCAATCCCCCGAGCCCCACCCAGAATGATCTCTGAGCACAAAGCCAGGACTCAGCCCCAAGTACTTCCAGGTGTGGTCCAAAAAAAAAACAAAAACCAAACCAAAAGAAGCAAACCATTCAGGGAAACAGAGAAATAAGTATAAGGCAGAAGAATAAGGGGTAAGAGACAAAAACAAGGAGTATATCACGCATTGGCAGCTCAATTCCCAGTACTCTATATGATCCCCAGAATCCCACAAAGAGTGATTCCTGAGCTCAGTCAGAGCCAGGAGTAAGTCCTGAGAGCATCACTGGATTTGTCCCCAAAACAAACAACAACAACAAGTAAGCCATTTAGGGCCTAAGGCCTAGAATGTGATTCAGTCTTGTATGTGTAAGGCTTAAGCTTGATCCCCTGCACCTCAAAATAACGTAAACCATTCAAACAAATTTTAATAAATTGTTCTACATTCCACAGTACCTTTAATAAGTCGATACCACTGTTTGCAGACAAGGGCTGCAGTTTTGTGTTCTTGATATGGTGAAAGAAAAGACAGGATATACTCTAAGACCTCCTCAGGCAGCTCAGACATGGCCCGATTATGTCTGGTCTCGTCAACCTCTAATACTGGATGGGGCTCCTCATCTTGCTCCATTGTCCCTTCCAGCACTGCTTCTTCTTGGTCCACAGCCATGAAACTGTCATCTTCACTGTCTGAGGAGCTGGCCATGACATTCCACTCGTTAGCTATAGTGGGAAAGAAATAAATATCAGCACGTACTGTGAGAAGCCCTGCAGGAACTCAAGCACAAGCACCGAAGCAGTTATGCCCTCAATAGGAAATCAGTTCTTTTGCACTTTGCCATATGAGTTGTGAATGACCGGAAACTGAGAGGTACATCTCAAAGACCAAGCTCATTCCAAAGGTCTAACAAATTCTTAAAGATATACTCATACTTCCGTCCACTGAAAACCAGAATGACTGTCAAATTCTATAGCCAGGAGGCTGGAGAGAGAGTACAGCAGGTAGGGGGCTTGCCTTGCAGGCAGCTGACTCAGGTTCAATCTCCAGCACCCTATAAGCTTCCTCGGGTTCAAACTCCAGCACCCTATAAGCTTCCTCACACCTGCTAGGAATGATCCCTGAGCAACAGAGCCAGAAGCATTACCTGAGCACTGCTGGTTGCCTTGTACACAGCCAAACCTAGTTCAATAACCAGCACACTGTCCCCTGAGCCCCATCAACTCCCCAGCAGAGTCAACAGTTGAGACACAGAGAGGTACACAGACATATACACACATGTGCGCGCGCGCAGGCACACACACACACATACACACACATGGGCATACAACCAAACACGCACATGAAACTCATTCACACCATTCCTGCTGTTTCATGCAAAATTTCAAGCAAACAGCAGTAAGATGAAGGAAATAGGGTGACTTAAGTCAGAAGTGTGTCAAAGGTTAGATTCTCCAGGAAGCAAAAGTTGAAACAGCACTGGGGGCAGGGAGATGGCTCAAAGGGCTGGAAAGAACACTTTGCATTTGGAGGTACCAGTCTAATACCTAGCACTCAGTTCACGTGGTTTCTGGAGGAACAACAGATGGACCTCCTATCCCCCCCAAAACAAACCAGCTTTAGGAGGAAGAAAGGTTTAGTAGGGAGAACTCTTTTTGTAAGTGTTGAAGGAACGAGGGCAGGAAAGGAAGAAACATTGGACCGCGATGCAGACCAGACCCAGCCTGTCCAACAGAAAGCTCAGAAGGACAGGCATTAGAAGGCTAGTACCGAGTGAGAAGGTGGGATTCTTACCTCAGTGCTCTGCTCAGCCAGAGGAACATCACCTTGGCTCTAAAATTGGGACAGATGCTGAAGGGACTAACATCTTTATCTTACTCTGGTTTTGGAGGCACAACCGGCAATGCTCAGGGCTTACTCCTGGCTCCTTACTCAGGAATCCTGGCAGTGCTCAGGGGACCATATGGGGTGACAGGTATCGAACCCACATCAGTAGCATGCAAGGCAAGCACTCTACAGACTGCACCATCTCTCCAGCTTCAGGGACTAACATTTTTAGCAATACTCTTACAGGTGAGCAGCGAGTCCCTCCTTGAAGAGGCCTCAGAGTTCATTTTGTTTTGTTTTCAGGCCATACACAGAGGTGTTGGCAGACCACTCTCAGCGGTGTGTGGGGAAGCATTCTTCACTGGGAATCCAGCCAGGGTTTCCGCAATGCAAGCGTATCCTCCAGTCCTCTGAGCTCTTTCTACTCATTTTATTTCCTTTTTCTGATGCATTTATCCCCTTGACAATACATACCCATCCTGACTTTTCCCTATGCTACCTACAAGTTTATAACATTACCTTTAGTACTGATGACACTAGAAATAACAGAAAGAGAAAAGAGGCCTTGAGCTGCACATCTTAAGAAAGATGGGGGTGGGGGGGCAAAGCGATAGTACAGCGGGCTGGGCATCTGCCTTGCATGCAGCCATCCCAGGTTTCATCCCTGGCATATGGTCCCACAAACACTGCCAGGAGTAATTCCTGAGTGCAGAGCCAGGAATAACCCCTGAGTATCGAATGGCATGACCAAAAAAGCCAAAGAGAGAAAAAAAAGATGTGGGGCAGGAGTGGGGTATTGGGGGCTGTAGCTAGGCAGAAAGATATTCAAAGGGCTGGAGCATGTTCTACATGTGCAAGGCCCTGGGGTGATGGCAGACACTGGGTGTCCCGTTTCCCAGCACCGCCAAGTGTGGTCCTGGTGAGTCCCAGCACTGCTGGGCGTGAGCACTGAAAAAAGCATCAGGCTCGAATCAAGTATTAGCAGGAGTGGCAAGTGGCTCCTGGGTCCAAGCAGAAAGGTGGAGCCTTCCTCACACACAAAAGGAAGATCTAGGGTACAGGAAATGTGGTTCAGTGGTCAAGTGCGATTCCCATCACTGCCCCCCAAATGCCAAGCATGATTCCTGCACGACAGGGGTAACCCTCAAAGCACTACAGCCAAGTGTGCAGGCCCTGGGCACAACAAAGGAGAGGACAGGAGAGAAGCAGATCTAACAGTTTCCAAAAGGGGAGGGAGCAGGAGAGCCAAGAACTGAAACTGCTCACACCATCCCAACTCTAGTATTCATACTGATTTTATACACCTTTAAAAAGGAACTCGTGGCTGGGGCTAGAGCAACGGCACAGCGGGTAGGGCGTTTGCCTTGCACGCAGCTGACGGAGGTTTGATTCCCAGCATCCCATATGGTCCCCGAGCACCACCAGGAGTAATTCCTGAGTGCAGAGCCAAGAGTAATCCCTGTGCATCACCGGGTGTGAGGCACCCAAAAAAGCAAAAACAAATAAATATTTAAAAATAAATAAAAATTTTTTTAAAAAAAGGAACTTGCATTAAGAAAAGGAAAGCAGGGCCTGAGCAATAGTACAGTGGGAAGGGAACATGCTTTGCATGGGGGCAGAGAGAAACAGTATGGGGTTAAGCCCCTTTCTTTTCCTTTTTTTGCCTTTTAGACCACACCCAGCTATGCCCAGGACTGACTTCTGATTCTGTGCCTCAGGGATCACTCCTGGCAGGGTCTCCAGGGGACCATACTGGGTGCGGGAGACTGAACCCAGGTCCACTGCATGCAAGACAATGCTGGTCTTGCATGTGGCAAGACAATGCTGGTCTTGCATGTGGCTGACCCAGGTCCAATCCCTGACACCATATATGATCCCTGAGTCTGCCAAGAATTATCCCTAAGCACAGAGCCAGGAATAAGCCCTGAGAACCCCCAGGTGTAGACCCAAATCTAAAACAAAAAACAAAAACTTGATGAAATTGGGCCAGAGAGAGAGTATAGCACGTAAAGCACTAGCCTTTCCTGCATCCAAGTCAGGTTTTATTCCTGGTACCACGTACAGTCCGGGCTAGACAGCACAGCGGGTAGGTGTTTGCCTTGCATGCAGCCTGGGTAGGTTCGATTCCTCTGTCCCTCTCGGAGAGCCCAGCAAGCTACCAAGAGTATCCCGCCCGCACGGCAGAGCCTGGCAAGCTCCTCCTGGCATATTGAATATACCAAAAACAGTAACAAGTCTCACAATGGAGATATTACTGGTACCCGCTTGCACAAATCAATGAACAGAAGGACAGTGCTACAGTGCTACCACGTACAGCCCATCAAGCATAGCCATGAGTATGCCTTCTGAGCACCACTGGGTTTAATCCCTTCTTTAAAAAAAAAAAAACTGGCGGCTGCAGTGATAGCACAGCGGGTAGGGCGTTTGCCTTGCACGCAGCCGACCCGGGTTCGATTCCCAGCATCTCATATAGTTCCCCGAGCACCGCTAGGAGTAATTCCTGAGTGCAAAGCCAGGAGTAACCCCTGTGCATCGCCGGGTGTGACCCCCAAAACAAAATCAAAAACAAAACAAAAAAAAACCCAAAAAATCTAATGACATTGTTTCTGAGATAATTTATCAACCAAATTAGTCAAACTATCTCATGGGGAGCCTAAGAGAAAGCACAGCAACCAGGGCATTTCTTGCATGAGGCAGAAGACCTGAGTTTGGTCCCTGATATTCCATATGGCAGAGCAGGGAGTAACCCTTGAGCATCACCCAGGTGTGGCCCAAGGGAAAACCAAAACAAAATTAGCTCAGGATACTGGAGTGTATCCTAAAAGAGTGGCTGCTAGAATCTCAGAGAGTGAACAACTACTGACTAATGGAAGCAGTGGGATAACCTAATGACCCCTCAAACAGAAATAGTGCAACGGGTTTGCTAAAAACTGTATTAGATAAAAGACCCTATAGGGTTAGCTCCCTCAGCCCCACTTATCCAGAGGGAACTATTTATCCCTGTGCTTAACTTGTTAGAGGAAGGTGTTCTCATTTCCATTCTTTAACTCTTACCAAACAGCACTTATGTAAAACATGAAACAAAGATTGCATTTTTTTCTAGCCAAAAAAATTAAAATGTGCCTTCTCCACTGAAAAAAAAAACTTGCCATGATCTTTTATTCTCTCTCCAGTAAGTTTATCATTTTTCACCTCCCATTGGCTACCTTCACTGATTTACTCATGTTTTTAACCCCAATTCACCAGAATTAAATAAACATTTTGTTTGTTTTGGGGCCACATCTGGAAATGCTCAGGGGTTACCCCTGGCTCTGCACTTGGGAATCACTCCTGGAAGTGCTCCGCAAACCCTAAGGTGGTGCCAGGGATTAAACCTGGGTCAGCCACATGCAAGGCAAGTGCCTTACCCACTATACTATCTCTCTCCACCATAGATTCCTTGAATCTTTGAATAAAAGTGCTGAGGACTGAGCCCTGGATTATCTGTGTGCAAGGCAAGTGTCCCGCCTGCAGTACTATCCCTCTAGCCTTACACAACATCTTGATGGACCATAATAAACCTAGAGTCAGCTTCAGAACATAATCAATGAAGGCTCTGAAAGGTTAATTATATTATTTCCCTCCCAAGCAAACTATTTAGCCCAATAAAACAACTAGTTACTTCCTTTCAAATCTTCCCAAAGTATAATTAGCAATCTCCATAAAGGCACTCACTTTTGAAATATCCAATTTTAAGCAATTCTCACCATATAACCATTTTGTAGTCTACAAAATTTCAAGTCCCATGCCCCTGAGGGGAAGTCTGTTAACTTGGCCAGCAGCACAGAGGGATGGGCACAGAACAATTTCTCTGTAATTACATGCACAGAACAAATTTGCAGCCCTTCATTTTCACTTC